TCCTACCTTGACGACCAATAGAATAGAAACAGTTAACATACTACCCAGACGACCAATAGAATAAAAACAGTTCTCATCCTACCCAGACGACCAATAGAATAGAAACAGTTCACATCCTACCTTGACGACCAATATAATTAAAACAGTTCACGTACTACCAAGACGACCAATAGAATAGAAACAGTTCACATCCTACTGAGATGTACAATAGAATAGAAACAGTTCACATCCTACTGAGATGTACAATAGAATAGAAACAGTTCCCATACTACCCAGACGACCAATAGAATAGAAACAGTTCACATCCTACCCAGACGACCATTAGAATAAAACAGTTCACATCCTACCCAGACGACCAATAGAATAGAAACAGTTTACATCCTACCCATACGACCAATAGAATAGAAACAGTTCACATTCTACCAAGACGACCAATAAAATAGAAACAGTTCACATCCTACTGAGATGTACAATAGAATAGAAACAGTTCACATCCTACCTAGACAACCAATAGAATAGAAACAGTTCACATACTACCCAGAAGACAAATAGAATAGAAACAGTTCACATTCTACCAAGACGACCAATAGAATAGAAACAGTTCACACACTACCCAGACGACCAAATAGAATAAAAACAGTTCACATACTACACAGACAACCAATAGAATAGAAACAGTTCACATCCTACTGAGATGTACAATAGAATAGAAACAGTTCACATCATACTGATATGTACAATAGAATAGAAACAGTTCACATACTACCCAGAAGACAAATAGAATAGAAACAGTTCACATCCTATTGAGATGCACAATAGAATAGAAACAGTTCACATCCTACCAAACGACCAATAGAATAGAAACTGTTCACATCCTAATGAGATGTACAATAGAATAGAAACAGTTCACATCCTACCTAGACAACCAATAGAATAGAAACAGTTCACATACTACCCAGAAGACAAATAGAATAGAAACAGTTCACATCCTATTGAGATGCACAATAGAATAGAAACAGTTCACATCCTACCAGACGACCAATAGAATAGAAACAGTTCACATCCTACTGAGATGTACAATAGAATAGAAACAGTTCACATCCTATTGAGATGCACAATAGAATAGAAACAGTTCACATCCTACCAGACGACCAATAGAATAGAAACAGTTCACATCCTACTGAGATGTACAATAGAATAGAAACAGTTCACATCCTACCTAGACAACCAATAGAATAGAAACATTTCACATCCTATTGAGATGCACAATAGAATAGAAACAGTTCACATCCCATCTAGACGACCAATAGAATAGAAACAGTTCACATCCTACTGAGATGTACAATAGATTAGAAACAGTTCCCATACTACCCAGACGACCAATAGAATAGAAACAGTTCACATCCTACCCAGACGACCATTAGAATAAAAACAGTTCACATCCTACCCAGACGACCAATAGAATAGAAACAGTTTACATCCTACCCATACGACCAATAGAATAGAAACAGTTCACATTCTACCAAGACGACCAATAGAATAGAAACAGTTCACATCCTACTGAGATGTACAATAGAATAGAAACAGTTCACATCCTACCTAGACAACCAATAGAATAGAAACAGTTCACATTCTACCAAGACGACCAATAGAATAGAAACAGTTCACACACTACCCAGACGACCAAATAGAATAAAAACAGTTCACATACCACACAGACAACCAATAGAATAGAAACAGTTCACATCCTACTGAGATGTACAATAGAATAGAAACAGTTCACATCCTACTGAGATGTACAATAGAATAGAAACAGTTCACATACTACCCAGAAGACAAATAGAATAGAAACAGTTCACATCCTATTGAGATGCACAATAGAATAGAAACAGTTCACATCCTACCAAACGACCAATAGAATAGAAACAGTTCACATCCTACTGAGATGTACAATAGAATAGAAACAGTTCACATCCTACCTAGACAACCAATAGAATAGAAACAGTTCACATACTACCCAGAAGACAAATAGAATAGAAACAGTTCACATCCTATTGAGATGCACAATAGAATAGAAACAGTTCACATCCTACCAGACGACCAATAGAATAGAAACAGTTCACATCCTACTGAGATGTACAATAGAATAGAAACAGTTCACATCCTACCTAGACAACCAATAGAATAGAAACAGTTCACATCCTATTGAGATGCACAATAGAATAGAAACAGTTCACATCCCATCTAGACGACCAATAGAATAGAAACAGTTCACATCCTTCTGAGATGTTCAATAGAATAGAAACAGTTCACATCCTACCTAGACGACCAATAGAATAGAAACAGTTCACATTCTACTGAGATGTACAATAGAATAGAAACAGTTCACATCCTACCTAGACAACCAATAGAATAGAAACAGTTCACATCCTATTGAGATGCACAATAGAATAGAAATAGTTCACATCCCATCTAGACGACCAATAGAATAGAAACAGTTCACATCCTTCTGAGATGTTCAATAGAATAGAAACAGTTCACATCCTACCTAGACGACCAATAGAATAGATACAGTTCACATCCTACTGAGATGTACAATAGAATAGAAACAGTTCACATCCTACCTAGACAACCAATAGAATAGAAACAGTTCACATCCTACCTAGACGACCAATAGAATAGAAAATGTTCACATCCTTCCCAGACGACCAATAGAATTGAAACGGTTCACACCTTATCCAGACGACCAAAACAATAGAAATAGTTCACATCCTACCCAGACGACCAATTGAATAGATAAAGTAAACGAATGACTCATTCGAAAACTAAAGATTGAGTAACACAATATTCGCAAAAATACCAAGCGGGAATTCATGTGCGGAAGGGGGATCATTTATCTTATTTGTAAAGTTTATGATTTATCCACTCACATCAATATGCATTCAGTAAATGTTGACACTCTCATCCTGACAATTAAATGTTATGAACAACACATTTGTTACAAACGTTGTGAAAATGCTTTTAGCTTTTTATCTATACATGATACATTTTTAAAACGAAAATTAAAAATACTGATAAGGGATTACTGAAATACTGCCTAATTTATCTTTTGCACAGACTCGTAATTCGAAGTTTTGACATGGTTTTTATTTAAGGAATGACTGTAATATTTTTTCTGTCTATGAAGAAATAACATCAAAAATGTGGTGCACACTGAATAACCCGCGTAGCTATTTCGAATAGACAGAAAAATATTACAGTCATTTCTTATAATTTAATTCTAAATTCCATTTTAAACCGGAGTAAACTATGAAAAAACGTTGATGACGTCACGGTCACATGACAAAATTATGTCTACGAGCTGATAAACAAAACAACGTCAGCCAATCAGAAGACGCGTTACATCCAAAATTAAATTATATAAAAATAAGAAAATAAGGAATAAGAAGATTAAAGGATAATAAATGAGACATAGGAGAATAATACGATAAAACTCCAATATCTGTTTTCATAATAAACAAACTGTAATGAAATCGAGCTCACTTGTAATAATAAACTCATCATAGATACCGCGCAGGATTGAAATTTTGTATTTGCGTCAGACACGCGTTTCGTCTACAAAAGACTCATCAGTGATGCTCGAATCAAAACAAGTTAAAAAGGCCAAATAAAGTACAAAGTTGAAGAGCATTGACGACCAAAAGTTCCTAAACGTTTTGCCAAATACAGCTAAGGTAATCTATTCCTGAGGAAGAAAAGCCTTAGTATTTCAGAAATGTAAAAATTTCTAAACAGTTAATTTATAATAATGATCATATCAATGATAATTCATGTCAATACAGAAGTGCTGACTACTGGGCTGGTGATACCCTCGGGGAATAAAAACTCCACCAGCACGTTCTTTTCTAAACACTAGACACAAAACAATTAACATCATCCCAGAAAAAATTCAAATTATGTTGAAGAATAGATATATTTTACTTCTAATGAGAAGTTAATAGCAGGATCCAAGTCTTGTTTTATGTTTCGTTTTGTTACAGAGATGCCATTGTTATCTTTTTTTTTTCATTTTATCAGTTTTTATTGATTTTGTTTAGGCGTAGATATTTCTTTCTTTTAATGAGGGGTTCAAATATAACACTTTGTCTTGAGTAATGTTTCAAGTTATTACAGCGTAACCAATGTATTTTTCTTTTTCATTTGATAAAGGTTTTAAAAAATGAGGCGGATCATACCAAGGGAACATTCTATTCAAAGGTCGATACAAACTGACAATGCCATCACGAACCATCACATCGAAAACGTTAGACTTAACAATACGAATCCAGCCAAAAACTAAGGGTGATCTCAGGTGCGCTAGAAGGGTAAAAAAGATCTTGAAATAATACCCAGGGATATTTGTTCTGGTTTAACCTTAATAATTTGATTCCTTTAATATGAAACCTAAAGGAAATAACTATCAAAAACGTCTTACGTGTGTATATAAAAAAAATGATACTACATTTTCTGATCTTATAAAGACCGCGGAAAACTCATTGGTTTGTCTTTGTGACAGCGAAGTTAAATAGTAGTTTAATATCAATGATATTTATGGTTCTATATGTTTTAATATACTAATAAATGCACTTCATATCGCCGTAAATGGGATCATTACTGTTTTTCATATATGATTTTGCAAAATAAATCAAACAAAAATCAAGCAACACAATATTAAAGCAGGCTTTATTTGACACAAAACAACAATAAACAACAATACTATTCAATTTGCAATTACCCAGAAATGTTTTCACATGCTATCGCTAAATAAAAGGTTATTACGTCAAGTATAAAAAAAAGGCTTAAACAAACAGGATTATATATCAAACACGGCAAATGCTAAAATAGTGTTTTACCCATAATAATTGACATATTTAGTATCGCTCATTATTTCTATATCAAAACCAAGTTATCTTTTATTTACAAAATTGATTTCATACGATTTCAAACATAAAAATGTATTTTTTAATTTCATGGTCTGAATCAAGCAGGATTTGAACGGAAATCAATAAGCCAGGAACAACCGATCCAGTGTGATCAGTCTTGTTATATTTCAGAATGGCGGATAGATCGTTGACGGACTTCCAAAAGGAGAAAATACTTCGGGTGTTTCATTTGTTATACGGTAAGGTGTTGTTTTTTTTATATTTATATTCTTTTATTTGTATGTGTTGGATAATATAATTTTGTCAATTTCTAACTTAAATTTGGTTTTGGGCAAATTCTAAATTTGAGTAATATGATACAATATGATAACAATACTTGAAATACAAATATAATTTGCAGGTTTTGATTTAGTTTTATCCGCTTAATTAATTCGATTCCAATTTTTTAAAATAAATTAAGAAAGCTCGTAAATTCATTTTCAATTTTCTCACATTCCTTTCTTGCTCACCTTTAAACGTGTTCTTGTGTTTTCAGCGATACATTATTCTGATTTTTTTACTTTTCAGTGGTAAACTATTAATAATCACACAATATAAAGAAATAAGGTATCAATTGCATGTAATTTGGAATATAAAATTTTAACAGTTTTTTGAAAGTTATATAGCGCGAAATTGTTCGTATAAAAATAATACCTTACTTTGAAGACATTGTTAACATCCACTGCTATTATGTAATTGATATTAAAGTGAAGTTCCATTCTTGTTTTCTTGGTGGTACTTTAACTAGTGGATAATTTTTCTTTATTCATGAATGTGTTAAATAACTCTTTATATAAATTTCGTGTATCTGAAGCAGATTTTTGACAGGAGATATATGAAAAGATTCAACCAAGGCAAACTGTGTATGGCAGAGTTGAAAGATTAGTTTCTTAGCCATTTATCTTAATTCAGCAACGGTACACGTTATAAAATATAACTTTTAAATAGAATTTTGTGACAAATATGTATGTAAATATATACTATTTATATATTTTGGAGTTTAGTGTGACGTCCATTTTCTCTGAACCAGTATACATTTTTGCTTAGGGGACAGCTAAAGCCCGCCTCCGGGTTTCGTGATTTTCTCGCTGTGTTGAAGACCCATTGGTGGTCTTGAGCTGCTTTCTGCTCTTTAGTCGAGTTGTTGTCTCTTTGACACATTCCCCGTTTCCATTCTCAATTTTAATAGACAAATATCATATGTTTCAATCAAGTGCATTTCTAGGCATTTGAAAATAAATTGACAATTAAGTCTGAATGCTGCAAGCTTTAAAAAAAAACCGACGTAAATAGCATGCAACATATCCAAGATGACTGTATCAATAAATGCTCACATTTGAGTTAATTTTAACAGTGTTTTTACAAGCACTCCGTTGACTTCTATAAAAGATATTTTTTCGGCTTATTTTGATGGTTCTATATCTTTAGCATAGTTTCCTTCCTTATTTAGAAGAACAAGTAATTGCTTTTATGGAAGAAAATGCTGCGTTGTTGTATGCTGGTTTTAGTTGTTATCTTTTCTAATCTGTATGAATACACGTTCTCTCATACGTTATAACGATTAACAATTATATGAAACATTCGGTACATAACAAAAATCTAAAATTTTGTTCAAACTGTGACATTAAGAAAAAAACATAGTTTTTCAGAGTGATAAGTCAAAGAAAATCACAGACAATACAGACTAAATAGCATTACAACCTAATCGTATTATTGATGATTTTTGAGGGATATATGTTCAATATTTCATTACAGTTTCGACACTTGTAATAAATAAACATGAAGTAAATAAAAAGTAGAACAAACAATTCTCAAAAATAAAATACAGCAGCCTAATCCGAAAGAAAGTTCCTATATTAAAAAATAATACAGGACTACTAAATATATTAAAGCAGGTCTTGTAACAATATGATCATACTCGTTATTCTTATTTAAATACACAAATTTGTTTAATCTGATACACTTCAAAAATATGCATTACAGAATCGATTAGATAGCCTTCCAATACAGTGGAACTCTTATGTTTATTGTAATATAAACACAAGTTCCTTTTTCAATCATACGGTTCTTAATAATGCTACAAAGCTTGCAGACTTATTTTCCTAATTTGTCCAGCTCTTGTGCCGGATCTTACAATGATTAGCCCTAATTAGAAGACAATATATAACAAATGTCACATGCAACGAGGTATATAGATCCTTTCAATAACACTTTTCCTGGTGACTTTTTATTTTAACCTCTATTTATAATTAAGTACGCTCTTTTCTGTGTAGGTGTTTTTAATTAAAAAATGATTTTGTCGATGAGTCCTTTTTACCGATTTTTTTCATTTTTGTTGGCTAATCGATCAGTTTAATTATTGTTAAGAATAATTTAATATGTGACTTTTAAAAAGCCTGAACCGTAATTTGCTTAACAATGTGCTGGGTCTTTTCATGTTTTAAAGTGTTCTGGTAGGTATTTATTTATATAGGTTGCATTTCTGTAAATATCTACAATGCAATTTCTCATAGGAACTCGTTTTACGGCTAAAACTGTACCACTTTTACTATGAAGTTTTGAAAAAGATTATATCCTGGATTGGAAAGTTCATATGCACTACTAATTTTTCCAAATGTCAAAATATAGGGCTGTGCGGCATATTTTCAACGTTTATATACCGCGAACTTCTAAGAGTTTAAACTTACACTAAAATTATGTACTAGCCCTACCTGGACTTCCACAGATTTCAATATGACTGATATGCATATGGATATTTACTGGTAACATTCCCAAGTTATGTCTCTATGAGATGAAACATAGAGATCATAACTGGGAACCAGTGCATAAACAAAATTAATTATCTATGAATATTATATATCTCCCCAAAAGAAGCGTGGTTTGAGAAACAGCTGTATTTACAAAGTGCAACCTATACTAACATTTATTCATATAGAAAACTCTCTAAAAACACTTTTTCTCACAACAATACTTATTTATCAAAAGTAATGCCTGAAACAGATCACTGCATATACACTTAGTTTTCTTTTACAGTACATTTTATATCCCCACCCCTGTTTCAATTTTTTAAAGAATTTAAAAACAAGATTTTAATTATTGCCAGCTTACCCCATGTGCATGTTTTCTGACATGAAATGTCTAGAACCTGTTTGAAACTATTCTGATAACAAATTGAAAGCATTTCAGAATACTACAAATGTAATGTTTAGCAGTTAATCATTCCAACATTCAAGATTGTATAAAGTATCCAATCCTGCCTCTGTTTTCAGTCCACATCTTACTGTTTGCCTATTTGTCAATGAAAGTTAACAATATCTGCCTCAAATAGTCAGTTTAGAAATCTTATCACGACAGTATCATCTCTAACCATATATTTAACATAATTAAGCTAATATATGAACTAGAAGTGTTTAAACAAAGCCATATTTGCAAAAGTTGTATGAATGAAGATACCAGTCTGATGTACGAATCCACTTAAATTTTATAGAAATGACTGCTTACATCAGATTTTTGCATAACTTTCAAGCACAGTTAATGTTTCTATACAAAAGACCTTCAAAATAATAAAATCATAGCATTTACAAGTTAAATCAATTGTTTTATGACCCAAGGGATAGGCATTTTTCTCTGTTTTTTTGCCCCTGGGGCCTCAAATTTCCTAAATTATTCTGCTGTTTCTACCAATATGGAATATTTAGTACATATCTAGGAAACAACACACTATTTTATGTTTGATTGAGTTATTTTTGTATTTCTAGCTTGTATTTTTTTATGCCGCTGTCACAAAAGGTATATTTAGGTGTTACGGCTTGGGCTATCGACAGGACAAAAACACCCCACCAATAATATTCAGGAAGGATCTATGTATTTCAATGAATGCGAGGAGTAAATATAAGCACTTCTAAACAATTTAAATTACAAATATGCATATATTACGAATTAATTTTGAATTCAGGGCTTTAAGTAAACTATGCATACTGTAAACTGTGAATTTATGCTGAGTCATCATAGTTAAGGCCCAGGATTTTCTCAATCTTCATGAAATATCTATGAAACTTCATATTTGAGTTAAACCAGATTTGGTGAAATTCTGTATGTTCTCTTTTTTTACCCTATATAGGTTGCATTTCTGTAAATATCTACAATGCAATTTCTCATAGGAACTCCTTATACGGCTAAAACTGTACCACTTTTACTATGAAGTTTTGAAAAAAATTATATCCTAGAATGGAAAGTTCATATGCACTACTATTTTTTCCAAAGGTCAAAATATAGGGCTATGCGGCATATTTTCAACGTTTATATGCCCCGAACTTCTAAGAGTTTAAACTTACACTAAAATTATGTACTAGCCCTACCTTGACTTTAGGATTCTACAGATTTCAATATGACTGATATGCATATGCATATTTACTGGTAACATTCCCAAGTTATGTCTCTATGAGATGAAACATAGAGATCATAACTGGGAACCAGTGCATAAACAAAATTAATTATCTATGAATATTATATATCTCCCCAAAAGAGGCGTGGTTTGAGAAACAGCTGTATTTACAAAGTGCAACCTATAGATAATTATAGTTAAGAGGAGTTACCTTACTGTTTCACAATAGTATATGTCTATGCATTGTTACAACCACACATATCGTGTAGGAATGAAACGTTACGATTCTTTTTCCAAATCTTTAAAATGCATTTATAGGGTAAACGTGAAACTCATTCCTAAAAATATAAGTCGCACACGTTCCTTTGTTTATAAGACACATACGGTCAGCTGTTTGCATTTCTTGAACACAGTTCTTCCAGTATATATAAAAATTGGAAGATGTGGTATGATTGCCAATGAGATGACTCTCAACAAGAGACCAAATGACACAGAAATCATCAACTATAGGTTACCGTATGGCCTTCAGCAATGAGTAAAACCCATACCACATAGTCAGCTATAAAATGCTCTGAAATTACAAATGTAAAACAATTCAAACGAGAAAACTATAGCCTTACAGTCTGACAATCGGAAGAAATCAGATGAAAATGAATAAAATGTCGAGTTTTTTCTGTACATTTCCATTTAACATTTATAATATGCCTAATACCGTGTGTTATACAATTAATTATTATAACAAGCTCTGACTTAAAACTTCTCGGTAATAAAATAAAACGTGATAAAAGAAATTAAAACATAAATATAATTGCAAAT